GTATGAAACGTTTCTGAACAAAAAAAAAAAAAGGAAGAAAAACGACTAAAACGGGACTGGGGGACCATTTCGTCTGAGTGAGTCACTCTTAAAAACGCCGTGAGTCTCTCGGTTTTCTTGACTGTCATACACACTGTTGAGAGGAATACGATAACCACGTCGTGTCATTTCGTCTCCAGCTGCGCTTGCTACTGTTTCACGATCCCCTGCCGTTGTAGAATCCCTTTTTCTATTATTGTAACTCATTCCCTCTGTCCGTTTTTCACCCCTGTCTCGTGCCATCGATTGCTCTCTCTCTCTCTCTCTCTCTTTATTCAATATTGTTTTCGTTTTCGAGAGATTGCAATTCTTTGAGTACAGTTCGAGTATATAATATGTATATATCTGTAATACTACCTACATATATACCTGTATCGATTGAAAAAACGGTAAATATTACTATTATCTTCTCTTCGTTTCTGTAACCTGATATATCCTCCATATCCTCGCACGAAATGAACGATTCGCAAATACAAATGACAATGCATGTTTTAAATCGAAAAAATTTCTTTTACATCAAGGATAGAGTATACCTCGTAATTGGTAGACACTGTCTCGAGTTAAGTCAAATTCATGGAGCGAGACACCGACCGCGCCGGTTCGTATAGCCGGACGATGAGTCATATGAGGTCGTTGTCTGCTACTTACAATTAGTCCAAGAAAATCTACCATCACGATAATGTATATTTCCTCGTCCATTCGTTGACTCCAATTCGTGAATTTAACTTTTTCAATTATTTCCTGTTTTTGGAAAAAAATGAATAAAAATCATTTTTAAAAATATATAATATGATAATTAATTCAACAATCGATATATTATGTTAAGTTATTTTGTTAATTTTAAAAAATCATAAAACAAAATGATTTGAAAGAATCAAATCGTTTCAATTCCACGTTGAAATGTGAAAAACCATTTTATTCCGATTTTAATGATTTAACTGTATTATGTTAAACTGTATTATATATTATTCAATTACAAATGCTTATAATCGCTATTTAATATCAATGAAATTATGTCATAGTCGTATGAGTAAATTAAAAATGTTTCAATATACTGTAAATTTAAAAATTTAAAAATTTTAAAATCATAAATCAATATATTAAAAATTTCAATTTTTTCAATTTCGTTTCAATGCTTTTATTTTCGCTAGTTATTTTCTAAAACTTACCAAATTGCACAGAAACGAGATTTTTTTTAATGATTTGAAAGAATAAGATCTGATAAAAACATTAAGTTGCTTATCATTCAATCTATATAATATTATAGATAAACAAAGTGGAACAATCTTCTTGTCAAACTGATCTCTAATCTAAATTTATATTATTATAATGTAAATTCTTTAATAATTTAGAACATAGATAGGTTAATATTGTTTTCGTCGTAAATAATTCCAATATGTTCCAAATATTAGAATAGAGGTCATTCCAATCGCTTATGATCATTTTATTTCAATAGATGGCGACACAACCTGATAATGAATTAATGAAACTTATATATAAAATATAAGAAAGGATATTTTTTTACGACATAAAAAAATGTGATATATTTTACAGTATTAAATAAAATTATTTACTGTTACTTTTTAATTTCTAGATAGAATTTCATTTACTAATTATTTATACGTACATTCTAAAACTATTTTCTTTTACTTTTTACTTTCGATTAAATGAAATTCAAATTATAACCTACTTTTGAATAAAATTTGAAATTAATTACGCTAGCTGAATATTTAACTACATCTTTTTTGGTACTGCTTGAATGCATGATCTACTTTATTCAAATTTGTATGTCATAGTATAAAAATTGATAGATGAAAGGAACAAATATAAATACAAGTACACCTACAATATAATTTTATAAATATAAAAATGAATTATTGAATTCGACAAAATATATGTACGAAAATAATAAGGGATTCTTATTAAACCGTACACTTATATGATAATAATTTATTCAAGATGATGGTAGCCGCTAGAGCGGTTATACACTGAATACAAAGACGCGCTTTACAAACTACATAATCGAAACAAATAAACGATACAGAAAAAAGTTTGATAAAAAAAGTATTCTCCTCCTCGAATTATTCGAATAATACAAGGAGTGATATCGGTGAAAAAGCGCGTCTGCACAGAATGTAAAAAAGAAATTAAAAAAAAAAAGATGGAATAGGAAAGAAAGACATAAACGCATAAAGTTAAGAAGCAGTACGAGAGCGAAGGGGACAATGATGAGGGGATGAATCGTAGGTAGTAAGTAGAGTAGAATAGAGAATAGGCGTTTAATTTTCGTCGACTTCTGCTTCCTGTTCCTCGTCGAATTCCGCATCTTCGTCTGCGGTGGCTTCTTGATATTGCTGATATTCCGAAACTAAATCGTTCATGTTTGATTCGGCCTCGGTGAACTCCATCTCGTCCATACCCTCGCCGGTGTACCAGTGAAGGAAAGCTTTCCTCCTGAACATAGCAGTGAACTGTTCGGAGATTCGTTTGAACAGCTCTTGAATAGCTGTCGAGTTGCCAATAAAGGTAGCGGACATCTTCAAACCGCGTGGTGGGATGTCGCAGACAGCTGTTTTTACGTTGTTCGGGATCCACTCGACGAAGTAAGAGCTGTTCTTGTTCTGAATATTGAGCATTTGCTCGTCGACTTCTTTCATCGACATTCTGCCACGGAAAATGGCTGCTACTGTGAGATACCTTCCGTGCCTAGGATCGCAGGCCGCCATCATATTCTTTGCATCGAACATCTGTTGAGTTAGCTCGGGTACAGAGAGAGCTCTGTATTGTTGACTGCCACGAGATGTGAGTGGTGCGAAACCTGGCATGAAGAAGTGAAGACGAGGGAACGGTACCATGTTTACAGCGAGTTTTCTCAAATCGGCGTTCAATTGACCAGGGAACCTCAGGCAAGTAGTAACACCAGACATCGTAAGAGAAACGAGATGGTTCAGATCACCATAGGTAGGCGTAGATAATTTCAGAGTGCGGAAGCAAATATCGTAAAGGGCCTCATTATCAATGCAGTAAGTTTCATCTGTATTTTCTACCAGTTGATGTACGGAAAGCGTTGCATTATATGGTTCTACGACGGTATCTGATACTTTAGGAGACGGTACGACGGAGTATGTATTCATGATTCTATCAGGATATTCTTCACGAATTTTGGAGATGAGCAACGTTCCCATACCGGATCCGGTACCACCGCCCAAAGAGTGAGTCAATTGGAAACCTTGTAAGCAGTCACAGCTTTCGGCTTCTTTCCTGACTACATCGAGGACAGAGTCTACTAATTCGGCGCCTTCGGTATAATGACCTTTTGCCCAATTGTTACCAGCTCCAGACTGTCCAAACACGAAGTTATCTGGTCTAAATATTTGACCGAAAGGTCCCGAGCGAACAGAATCCATTGTGCCTGGCTCCAAATCGACGAGGATGGCACGTGGTACGTATTTTCCTCCAGATGCTTCATTATAGTATACGTTGATTCTTTCCAATTGAAGATCGGAGTCACCATGATAAGTACCGGTTGGGTCGATGCCATGCTCGTCACTGATGATTTCCCAAAACTATAATAAATAATAATTTATATTTTTAAAAAAATGTTTATACGATTTAATATTTCGTTATATTATATTTCGTTATTTAATTGATATTGAAATGCGAATATTCGAAAAAAAAAAATCGTACTTGGTGCTAGTCAATGCTTTCTCCTCACCATTACCCTCGCATCCGTTTTCAGTCTTCCGTATTATCGACCGAGAGGAATAGTTCGATGACCTCACCAGTGAATAGCTCATATGTAATTAGTTGTAATATAAGCATCCATTATGACAACAAGAATAGAAAATTTTTTTTTATTTTTGATTATTTATATATAAAAATTTATAATAATAAATATGCATATTCATATGTACTTTTTTTTTCATTTTTTTAAATCTATTTTTAAACAAATATAAATTATTAAAATTAGCTATTTCGCTCAAATTTTACGAGATAATAATTATTGTTCAATTATCGTCAATTTATTGTTTTATATACAAATGAATGCATATCGTAGCATACATACGAAGTACATATATAATGCATGGTACAATGCGCCTTCTCTATTAGTTAGCGCGCAACTGCACGTACCTCTCCATAGTTCAAAGACCTTATAGTATATTTCTGGAAATCGATGCGTTCTTAGAATACCATCTATTGAGTGTGATATAGCCATGAGATATCTTATTATTCAAATAGAAGTTTAACGGTCTTTCCATAGAAGATAAGAAGTAATAAATATTTTAATTAGCTAATCAGTGTGCCGCATCGAATGATAGATAAAACGAATAGAAACATACATGTAATATTACATTTCGTTTGTCTTATTTATTCAATAAGTAATTCTTTATTTAATATAGCAATCTTTATCATTACGTATGATGTTCAAGAAGTATTTAATCCTAGGTC